AAGTTCTTTACGAATTCTCTTATGTTGCCTGTTCTCATTAATTAATATACCAACTAAAATTGGGATTGAATCCCATGAATGCTGGAAATATCAAAGGTGAATATGGTCCCATTCACCGGCCATGTATACCACATAAGATGCATCTATGAGATGGTTACATGTGCGATTATTAATAACCCGCAACATGGTGTTTTGTGAGGTAACTTGCTCAATAATTTAATTTCGTGCATAATTTCCAGATTTCCTATTCAAGATAGTTTATCTTGATAAGTTGGCTTACATCACAGTTGGTTTAGCAAAATGATTTATTGAGTGCCTCCACTTAATAGCTAAAACTATTGCTTATGAGAACAAAATTACCTATATCAGTTTGATATAGGTTATATACGAAAGTATATTACATTCTCCCCTCACAAGTGGTTCAGGGTCAGGAACCAGATAATTCCATCTTATTATTATTGATGTGTGGTGTACATTTTAATTAACAACATAACACACAAATATGAGTTCTTAAAGTTGAGGAAACAAGTTAGTTTTTCTAACATGAGGGGGAGACATGATAAACAGTTGAGAAAAAGTTACGTTGAATGAATTATCATTTGTACATCTAGATCCTCGAATAAGATAATATGAACTCGAGGTTCATAAAAAAGATAATTCATTTGCAATATATTGCAAAGCATGCCAGACGCATTTGCTGACCCAAAGAAAGTAACTATATTCTCATTGCAAATGCTCTTATTAGAATAAGTCCTAGAAGGACAAAGTCTATAGTACGCTTAAAGCATATAGACAAATCGGTTTCAAATAAACTTCTTGATAAAGAAGATGAGCAAATGATCAAAATGATCATAATAAAGGAGGCAAGTGATCTAGAAGATCACATGACATACCACTTCATAAAATCTCAAGAGAGATTCATGTACCTGAAAATATGAATGAAGAGATCTCTATGTTATGTCTTTATGAAAATATATTGAAACTGATATAAAATGTTTGTCGACGACTATAGATGAGGATCTTAAGTCGGTCGCTTACAGACACAAAAATATTGGCCAAATAGAAGAGACACAATTCAAATAGAATTGGTTTCATATGAAAGACATGTAGTTTTGAACATGTAGTTCAAACACTTGAAAGTATAAGTCAATGGTATGTGCAATCAGTTTTTCGATATCTTATATGTCTAGCATTACATGAAAACTTGATATGCATCTAAAGTCTATTATATGGCTTATATGACTTAAAAATCCTTGAAGGATTTAAATTGCTTAAAGCATATAGAATTCATGGTCATGAAGTACTACATCCTCAGTGCAATTTGTGCACAAATGTATCTTGCTATGACTATAGGCAGATAATATGATAGTAAGAGTTTTCACCTCTATATGAAGATATTGAACTGACGATTCCAACAAGATCATATGAAGACAATTCATCTCTATCAAGAATGATGATTTCAAGGTGCAATATATTCATTCAAGTTAATATGGCTGATTTTTGTTCATCAAATCTCTACCAAAGATCTTTTGAAGATGGTGCGCAAGATTGGAATTCAAATGCTTAAGGATGTGAATTGATGCTCTCATCAGGGGGAGTTAATACGCGTTGTACTCTTTTTCCCTGCAAGGTTTTGTCCCACTGGGTTTTCCTTGCAAGGTTTTTAACGAGGCAACCAAAAGGCGTATTGTTAGATATGTGTACTCTTTTTCCTTCTCTAGAATTTTTTCCCACTGGGTTTTATTTTAGTTAAGGTTTTAACGAGGCACATTTTCTGTTGAATAGACATTCAAGGGGGAGTGTTATAAAGAGAATTTTATTTATGGTGATTGTCTATATTTAGAGAGATTCTAGGATTTATTACTTGGTGGCTAAGTCACCTTCTCCCTATAAATAGAGGGTTCTATTCCATTGTAATTGATCCCATATCAATAAGAATTCTCTCTCCCTACTTTTCTCTACAATACTCTTCTTCTTCTTCTTTTATTGTTTCATAACAGATATAGATTAGATTTTGTTATAAAATCTGGTTAAATTTTGCCTTTAAAATACGAAGTAGCATTTTCTCTATATGACACTTGGTTTGACCTCATGCTTCACTATCATTCTTTTAATGTAATACATGAAGTTATGTTATGTTTTTGTAACTTCACAATTTAAAATAGAATAGGTTTCAAAATATATATTTTTTTAAATATAAATACTATTATTTCCGTAAAAAAATAGTTAAGCATGTTTAAATTCAAATTCAAAATGAGTAACTAATTATTAGGGTTGATAATGCTAGCTTAAGGCAGTGCATTTGGAACTTCTAATTTGAATTTTACAAATTTACAAGGAGATTGCTATGTCTTTGTTCAAGTTTAAGTCTTTTTCTTGGAATAGATAAATTCTTGATAGGATATACTAATTTAACTAATAATCTGATCGAATGACCGCAAGATTAGAGTTATAGACCTCATACAAAAATAATTAGGAAAATGATTTCCCCAAAAGCCCCGTCGAGATTCATAAATAGACAAATTAAATAAGCATATGCTTCAATTCCACTTTCTACAAGGCTAGTAGCTCAAACGTAAAGCTACAAACTTGTATGTTACGGGTGTAAAATATGATTTTCATATCAAATACTTACCTTATCTCAGCCTTTCCCACAAAAAAGAAGGTACATAAAAACATTTAAAAAGAAAAGAATAAAATCGAGAAGTCTTGAAATTCAAATGACGAATATCGATTGAGAAAACACCAAAGCTCCTTTAATTCTTCCATTGTTGGGATCGTTGGCATAAAACAAATGAAAGTGACCTGTGGTTTCACCATCGGAACATATAAAATTAATTTTAAAAAACTGAACAAAATATATTTTTTGGCAAGGGACGTGGCCTGTGATTTCACCATCTACAAACTAAAATAATAGACAAACACCATCCTACCACAAATTAAATTGGCCTTTCTCAAACTTGAACCCCAAAAATAAATATAACAACGAAAACTCGAAAAATCTACTAATACACACACACACACATATTTAAATACATATATTGTTTATAGAAAGAAAGACAACTTGAGAGTAGGATATTAATTATGGGGAAGAAAGAAGAGGAGGTGGCAATGGAGAGAAGTGAGAGGGGTTGGGTAGTGGTGAAACCAAAGGCCAACAAGAAGTTTGGAGCAAAAGCCATAGATTGGTTAGAAAAGGTGATTGTTAAATTAATGTACAATAGTGGTTCTAATTCAAAGGCTTGCCATTTTCTATCAGGTAACTTTGCACCTGTTGATGAAACACCTCCTTGCAAGGACCTTCCTGTTAAAGGCTACTTACCTGTAAGTACTCCTCTTCAATTACATTTCCTTATATATGCTGACAGTGTAAAATACTTCTACATTATCAATGTATCATAATATGTTGCGGACTTGCGGTACGTAATTTCTCTTAAATAGTGTTTCTAAATATATTTTATACTTCTCAAAAACTGCTTCTGGTTCTATACTTTTTTCTATTTACAAATTAGGCCAACCACCTTAACCAGAAAAAAAATAACACTTTTAGCAACAAAAAACAATGGAGTACTACTTTTGGCCAAAAAGAAGGTTGGCCAAACAGGCTAGAAGACTGGCCGGCCTCTTTCCTTTTCAATCACGTGACTTTTTCTTCTTGTACTTATCATTTTACGCAAATAGGTTGTAAAAATAGCACGGGCTAGTGAGTTTTCGGACTGGTCATTCAAAAATAGTCAGCGTTTGCAAAGTCATTGAAAAATAGCCACTATTTTGCTGCAACACGGAAAGTTACAGCATAATATATTGGAGATCGGTGCACCTGTGTGTATGAACTTCCAGCATATTATACTGGAGTATTTTTCCGAATTTTGAACAGTGTTTTCGTTCAGATTTATCTTTACATAAAAAATGGCTAAATTTCGATTACTTTTAAAATTGTGGCTTTTTTTAAATGACTACTTGTAAATCTGACTATTTTTTAATTTCTCCCAAATAAGTTAGATAGTTAAATGGAAGAGGAAAGCTCCACAAAAGCCTCTTTCTCCTACATTGTCCAAAAAGGTGAAACGAAACCACCAGAAAGCTAAGAAAAGTCGAGAAGAGGAGCAGGCATTACTTTGTAGTCTTGTTCTTTCTTCTCTATAAATGTGGATATTGCATCTGGTTTACTGTCCAGATTATTTATGACAAGTTTATGTCATTTTTTTAAAGACTTTTACCTATATCTAAGCAAACAGATAGGTCAAGAAAACGAATATGTGACAGCAAATAATCCTTGACCATTGAAAATAGTATGCAAATTTTAGTAAAATCCTTCATATAAAATACAACATATATAGAGCATTAGTTTATTCAGTCCTTAATTTTCCGTTGATTCAATCTTTAATAAATGAAATTTGGCATGCCGTTCCATTTGAGATAAATAAAGCAAGAAAAAAGTTTTTCACCTAAGGTTTGTTGCCGTTGTTGTAAAGTAAGAAACAAAAATTATGAAGTGTGTTTATTATGGCACAAAATACTTTTCTAAAAAGATTTTTCATGATGAATCAATTTTTCAACCTTTTTTTTTTACCTAAAAGTATTTTCCATGCCAAGAGGAAAAAGAACGACGTGTAAATATCCAATTTTTACCATATGTCAGATATTTTTTATCCAATGGGCAGTCACGCATTGAGATTTAAAAATAATCTCCAAAAATAAAATACTTTCTGGGAAATTTCTTTTTTGTCCCTCTGAAAACCCACCTGAATTCCAAAATTAAAGGAATTGTTCCCTCTTTTTTTATCCCCAAAACCATTTTACAAATGTTATCTTAGGAAACGAAAAATATAAAAGAAAAGCGGGAAATTAGGGGGACAAATTGACAGTTACTCCAGCGAAGCTCCGCCTCGCAAATTCGAAGAAAACAGCGACACGTGGCAGCAGCATCTCCACCAGCTTAACGGTATCAAGAGGAACTCCATGACCAAACTTTCACACGCAAACATATTCACCAAAATAGGTTAATTGATCATAATTAGGCCATTAATTAGAAGAAGAAAAAAAAGGTACTGTAGTATAAATGATTTCAGATTAAAGTACTAAATAAACAGACGCATGGCATGCAATTACGTATATATCAGCTACGATTAAGTATTTCCTATATATAAGCACAGAGATTTCAGCTTCCACCCTCAACAGTATAAGGTAAAATGGGGAGGAAAGAAGAGATTAATGGAGTGGCGAGAATAGAGGGAGGAGTGGTGGTGGTTGACCCAAAGCCCCAAACTGGACTAACTGCTAAAGCCATAGATTTGGTAGAACGGGTGATGGTGAAGCTGATGCACGACTCCAGCAAGCCACTTCCCTTTCTTCAAGGAAATTACGCGCCCACTGATGAAACTCCTCCTCTTACCAACCTCCCCGTTAAAGGCCATCTTCCGGTCAGTTCACTTCATTTCACAGTTTTCCGTAATTACATTGTTTACGTACTTTACAAACTACTTTAAGCAATTAAATCTGGTATAAAATTGTTACGTATGCAGTTTAAAGTCATAAAAATTACTCTTCCGTCCCAATTTATGTAGCATCATCTGATACGAAATTTAAGAAAGAAATGAAACTTCTAAAATTTGTCGTCTAAGTTAAGCTATAGACATTTGTGCGATTGGGCAGAATAAAAACTGAATTATTTCTAAATATATAAGTGTAACATTCCTTTTGGGACAGATTAAAAAGAAAAGTGTAATGCGTAATTTGGGACAAAGGGAATAGTAAATACTAAATAGTTTGAAATTACTACTATCATTATCTGATCGGAATCAACAGAGAGGATTAAGCAAACAGAAGTGTGAAAGAAAGTAGTCGAAATGCTTATCTTATTTAACTAATGAAAATTTATTCATAAAACAATACATGACAGGGGAAGATCAATGGGCTTGTTGCCCAATGAAATTCCAAAATGGTAATTCCCGGTAAAAGTTATTAGTAGTTGTAACTGTGAGCTGCTCATCGAAAATAGGTAAATATGGAAAATCCAAAAGTTGAAAGCAAGCAAAGGGCACTCCAGTGCAGAAAGCAACCCCTGTGCACACAGGATTCGGGGAAGGGCCGCACTCCAAGGGGGTGTGATGTTACCCTAATGCAAGCATCGGTGGTTGATTGCACAGCTCAAACCCGTGACCTATAGGTCACACACAGACAACTTGACCGTTGCTCCAAGGCTCCCCTTCAAAAATTGAAAGGAAGTGATTATAAAAATTTGTTGTGGTGAAGTTTATGATAAAGAGGGAAACTGCTTTAATTAGAGTTCCATCTAGGAGGTGATTACTCAACACTTTTAACGGGTGAAAATGTGGAACTATATATGATATGTGACTATGTTGTTAGTGAAGATTTAGGTGGCATCCTACTGTAATGGAAATTTAAGATTCTTAGAATATATAATAGGACATCATCGTTAAGATAAACCAAATATGTTTTCACCATTTAGAAAAAACAAGTTTGTTGAAGTTAACTTGTAGAAGAGAGTAATAGACTCTCGGTTACTACATGGTAGCAGAATATGCATCTTTGCTCCAAGAGCTTGTTGAAACTGTATTTTCAAAGTGTGCTTTTGGGAGTTCAATTCATGACCCATTTGTTCATAATAAGGACCAACAATGCAACCTAACCTGATTGTAAATATGGGAGTATGTGACATGCCAAGAACTTAAGCTGTAGCAATGAATCAATTGATATTTGTCAGCTGTGAAGGGTGGAAAAATAAGATGAATAACAAAAGGTTTTACTTCATACAAAATACTAATCAGTTGATATTTCATCCTTTGGTTGTTTCTCCACTTCCATTTGTCCCCATAATTCTTTCAGGTTTGCATTATGAAAACTGATTGGGGTGAACAGATTGTTGTTTCCTTAATCTTTAGTATAAAGAAGAACATATCCGAAACAACTTTAGTTCTAAGATCTTCATTTTATGATGGCTTAATCTAGTTGGCTTCGCTGAAATCTAATAATCCATGATGAACTTTGCATGACAGGAGTGCCTAAATGGTGAGTTTGTCAGGGTTGGTCCAAATCCAAAATTTGCTCCAGTTGCTGGATATCATTGGTATTTTCTTTGCTTCATAACCTATTTCCATCACTATCTTTCCGTTCCTTCTCTTCTTCCCCCTTTCCTACAATAAAACAAATACAATCTCTGAGGTTACATAATAAAAGAATTTGTCGTTCTTGTTCATTAACATATATATAATATTCTTCTGCGTTCTTTGTTAGTGAAGAGATTCAGTTAAAAATTGCTAGTATTGAGACTCATCCTTGCTTTTTCTCTGTGCAGGTTTGACGGTGACGGGTATGTCTTTTGCAGACTTGACTTTTCTCTTTAGCATACATAGTAAATTGTCACAAATCATTTTGGAAAAGAAGTGCCACTAGTATTCTACTCTTGCACTCGTTTTGAGCAAGAACAATGTCAATTTGTTTTGCTGAAACTGGATTAGATTATTGCATTTCATGTGATTAATCAGCTACCTGGTATTATTTAATGAGGCAAGGAATCCACACTTGATAATCTTTTAATCTTTGAAGAAATCATTCATCTTGTTGTACTCTTTTCTTAACTGATAACTTTGTATGGTTTGTCGACCTTGTGTGTGGCTCTTTAAACTTTTAGTTAAATAATACTGCGTCATTTTAACCAGAGTCAGATATGGTATACAGGGGGAGATGCTTGTTGCTAGGTATTCTGAATAAAAATGATTGATGATTGGCACATTTCTTAATATCATGGCCAGCTTTGTTCATTATCTTAGTTCAATTTGCCTGTTTGCCTGTTTGCCTTTTTCCAGTGACAACAAAATTTGTTTGGTGTATCTACATTTCTGTGTTTCATGCTGCTTTTGATATGTGAAGGAGCACATGTTGAATGTGAAGGAAAATATCCTCGTATTGTATGACATCAAGAAAATGTTACCTTGATTAACTTTATTTTTCCTTCAGCATGATTCATGGCTTGCAAATTAAGGATGGAAAAGCAACATATGTCTCACGTTTTGTGAGGACATCTCGTCTAAAGCAAGAAGAGTTCTTTGGAGGAGCTAAGTTTATGAAGGTGTACATTTGTTTTGAAGTTCTAACTCTCAAATTTCTTTGTCTTGTTAATCTTTTATTCTATGGAACTTCAAGCAGTATAAGTTTGAAATTTCTGGAACTTAATGTAATCATCTGTCCATTTTTTTTTTGGGAACCATTGAGCTGTTCTTGCATAATTAAGGATCCTTTATCTAGAAAACTAGCATAAGTTGTTCACTAAGTATCTGGAAAATCAACATGTGACACTCTGTCATCCTCATCTTATGGAATAAGGATCATTGCCAAAAGTAGGGAAAGGAAAAAAAGAATGAAAAAAAGAAGAGGATATAGAATACAGGATGAGAATGTAACAGTTTAAGCATGTCAACAATGTTCTGAAGGAACAGTGAAGAAGAAATCTTTTGAGACTCAATTGAAGGAGAATGTACAGACTTTGGTAATCTTTTCAATATGAGCAATAAAACTAGAAAACTTAAAATTGCCAAAATTAAATGTTGGAAAGTTTCCTTGGTGTGACGAACAGTAACACTACCAAACTTTTTAGGTTGGTAAGTATCAGTTATTGTTGTGCTTTATTACGGTCAACAAGATTTAGAAAGCAATTTTTACAAAAATAAAGTTCCTGTTAGACAATCAGAAAGAAGAGTAGACGAATCGGGGGAAGAGAAGCTGGTAGAAATTTGATGATTATTGAGACTGCTCTCCCAGATAAAAGGATCATTATTGTATACTCATCTTTAGAAGATGAAATGATGGAAAGAGACAACTTTCGGCATTTCTGTCTTCACATTAGTACTATGGTGATTTTGCAATTAAAATAATTTTCCACTGAAATGACCTACTCATAGTTCTTGGTCTACTTGTTCTTAAGTTAACCTGTTATGAGTAAAAAAAACGTATAGAATGGTTATGAATATCCAATTACTTACCTGGATTCACCTCATAGCTAAATTAGATGCATTCTTATTCAATGTTAAACCATCAAATTGTTCTTAATTTGACATTTTATGATTAAAAAAATGTTGTTCTGAATACCAATCACTTACCTGGATAGCTAGATACTTTCTGATGTTAGATGCATTCTTAATCCTCAAATGCTATTATTGTGTCAAGCAGCCATTTCTTTGTATATTATTTAGTCTTTACTACTACATTTGCAGATTGGAGATCTTAAAGGGCTGTTCGGGTTGTTCTCAGTATACATTTACATGCTCAGGGAAAAGCTGAAAGTTTTGGACACTTCTTATGGAAATGGCACAGGTAGGTCAACCAGGTTTGAGGTTGTATGATGTTGTTATCTTGCTGGTTACCTTTGCAACAACTTTTGTTATGAAGGAAATGAATCTCTTGAAGAATGATATGCATAGATGTGTGTTTCTGTATGCCTGTGTTAGACTTAGGAAGAGGAAATGAGCTTTTTTCACCTTCTTTCAGCTAATACAGCTATGATATATCACCACGGGAAGCTTTTGGCTCTTCATGAGGGTGATAAACCATGTAAGTCACTTCTCCTTTTTGATCTATTAACTGAGAAATTTAAGCTATTTATAATCTAATTGCTTGCTAGCCTGAATATGTTGTTAATGGTTCTTTGACATCTTATAGTTAGTCACTTTGTTCCATTTATATTGCAACCTTTAAGTTTCAGAAATGATTTTATATGTATTCAAACTGCCAAACAATAATTTGATTGGCAACTTAAGATTGTTATTTGTTGTTTTTGATTGTTTTCCTTCTTCATATTGGCAAAATGAAAATTTCGTTCACAGATGTTGTTAAAGTTCTGGAGGATGGAGACCTTCAAACGCTTGGCATGCTGGATTATGATAAAAGGTTGCAACATTCCTTTACTGCTCACCCGAAGGTTGACCCTGTAACTGGTAAGAGAACAGTCGTGTGAATCTGCCTACAAATTATGGGAAAAAATAAAACATTGTTGTTGTTTCCAATCCTTTGTTCATATAGAATGCTAAACTTTTAAGAAACAAAACAACGATCAACTGTGGATATCACTCATCATTCCCCTGTATCCCTTCCATTTCATATGCTGGCTTCCTCCACTTGATGCTATTACTGTGTCAGCTGCATTTTGTTCAAGCGTACAAGAAGACCAAATATGAATGTAAAATAAAGCTGGGGAGTAAATGTGTGATGATTTATTTATTCCCATATTATTTTGGAAATATTTATTTTTTCTTTTCTTTTGGATAGGAAATATAGTTTGACTTGGAAATATTTGCATACAGGGGAAATGTTTACTTTTGGATACTCGCAGACACCACCTTACGCTACATATAGAGTCATATCCAAGGACGGTGTCATGCAAGATCCTGTTCCAATAACTATACCAGCATCTGTTATGATGCATGATTTTGCTATTACTGAAAATTATTCAATTATGATGGATCTTCCGTTGTACTTCAAACCAAAGGTATGCCACCTTTACAGCTTCTTTCTATTAATTTATATTATGGAGAGTAGCTTTACTCTCCTGATACCACTTGAAATTTTCCTCATGTTTTTAGTCAAAATTAATTATGAAAGGGAGTTCAGCTGATTAATGAGTTATGTATTTTTAGGAAATGGTGAAAAATAAAAAGCTGGCATACAGCTTTGACCCCACAAAGAAGGCTTGCTTTGGAATTCTTCCACGCTATGCAAAGAATGAATCCCTAATCAAGTGGTTCGAGCTTCCTAACTGCTTCATATTCCACAATGGTATGAAATTTTGAAATCTCAATTTTTTTTCCGGTTTTTATATCTGAAATATTGGAAGTTCATGTCCCTTGAGTTTCTCCTTGATTGGAAAACTGAACAGACTCTAGCCAGGATGTAAATATATATAATTATTCAGTTCAATTGACTTTTGTAAGGAGCAAGTTTCACTTCAATTGACAATCCCTATTATGGAATATCTCCATTAAACTGGTTAGAGAAAATTTTTTATCATGTAGAGAAGGTTTATTTCCAATGGAGTTTTTCGCTTTGTGCTTTGCTCTTTCAGCCAAAATTCGCATGTTTTCCACAGTTTTTGGATGGTTAGATAATATCTGCAGGATATTCGTAACTCTTAATGATGATAAATCTAGCCCGAAATTAACTTCATTAAGATTTGAGTGAGAAAGCCAAAAAATAAAAAATAATGGAAATGCATCTTTTGGCTATGCCTAAGAAGTAAGCCTTTGATTGAAATCATGGCTTGGTATGTGTTACAGGCCTGTTACGAGTGCATAATATAGACATTACTAGTTCTCTTATTTTTCTTGGCAATAGCTTCTTGCAAATCTTATTGTGCTTGCTCACTTCACTTCACTCAAACTGGCATGCGGCCACAATTAACTTCTGTGTTTCACTGATACTATGCTGGCCTGCTGGGACTTGGGATAAGAAGATAACTGAGAATTAACCCATAAGCAACTTACGGTATAAGTGAAACTTATAAAGGCACGGATTTATCTGCATACAACTGTTCTCCCGAAAGAGAAGTCGCTCGAGTAAATTTTTAATTAATTCCTTTGGTGGAAAAGGAATTTGAGTACCTTCATAGAAATTTCCTCTTTGCTAAAGTACCAAACTGAAAGAAAGATAGAAGGGGGTTCACCAAGATTGTAGTGTCTCTAGTCCTGATGTTTGACCTTGGACATCTTTCCATAGCGACGTAGGTGGATACCTTAAAAAGCCTCATGCTGGGTCTGCGCTGCGTAAACCGACGTAATTCCCCATTCATCCGAAATAGTATTTTAGTAAAGAAGAAAAGCATTCTGGGCTGACTACTACATGTCCATCTAGTGCAGTGGCTTTGAAGCAAGTTACCTTGACCATCTTCCGAAGTTCTAAATAATTTACTGATTGAAGGCTGTAAGAGCGGACTGCTCTACATTCAGCGACATCACAGTGACCCCGAAACAATCTTCTTCTAGTTGTGGGATGAAATTCGAGAGCCAATTGCTGTCTCTGAATAACCAGAAAACAGATTTCTACAAAGCAACCGAGAACATAGCTACCAACCTGCGGAGTTCATTAAACCCGCTTCCTGATATACTTCTCTACAGCTTTGAAGAGATGGATACACTTTGTACTCAATGTAGATGGTTTGCACTTCTCAGATCGTCTCATTAGACACAATGACTGCCTGGCTTTGAGTAACTTCTGTTATAGACTGCAAAAACATAAAAAATGTCTAACTCTTATTAGCACCATTCATAAACTTCACCAAGTCACAAGATATAAATGCCAAAGTCTTACGAACCGATCCAAACTGAGTTTTGTTTGATTGCTTTACCAGCCAATGCTTGGGAGGAAGGAGATGATGTGGTCTTGATCACTTGCCGTCTCCAGAATCCAGATTTAGATGCGATTAATGGAACTGAAAAAGAACAACAGCGTGATGGTTTCACAAATGAGCTGTAGGGTAACTGTAACCTCATGATCTTAATTGACTTTAATTATCTTTGAATGTTCTTGATTTTAGTCGTAATTATCAGGTATGAGATGAGATTCAATATGAAGACTGGTCTAGCATCACAGAAGAAACTGTCAGAGTCTGCTGTTGATTTTCCACGGGTCAACGAGAACTACACTGGAAGGTCAGCTGTTACAACATTTTCATTTTAATTCTAAAATTCCTACACTACATAAAATATCCAGGATGTGGATTAATGGATGTTAAAGTGCTGCATAGGAACACCTTCATCTGCTGGCTGTCTCTCTTGCTTCATCCTTTTTTCATAGTGTTGAGAGAAGCTTGCCTTAATTTTAGCGACTTGATCATGTCATTTTCATTTCTTATCTTGTCTGCCTAGAGGTTTGTTTAGAAAATCTTCCTTGTGCCATCATAATGATAGTGACTTTTGTAAACTTTAGGAAGCAACGCTATGTATATGGAACCATTTTAAACCACATGGCCAAGATCACAGGAGTTGTCAAATTTGATTTGCATGGGGAACCAGAGACTGGAAAAACAAAGCTCGAAGTCGGCGGTAACGTTCTTGGAATCTTCGACCTTGGACCTGGAAGATTTGGCTCAGAGGCAATATTTGTTCCCCGTCAGCCTGGGACAGAATGTGAGGAGGATGATGGCTACTTGATATTGTTCGTACATGATGAGAACACTGGGTACCTCATCTACCACTCTCTTTCGTTGCATAAACAAAATACACAATTATCTTAACTTGGACCTTTTCTATGTGAGACCAAAAGATAGAGATATTGAGTGTCTTTAGGTTGAATTTACTGTTTTAAATCAAGATTAAAGTGGGAAGGGAAATGTAGATTTCATCTCAAAGTTTCCTGCTTCAAGCCAAGTATTAAGTAAAAGAGCATAATAATGCAACTTGCCTCACGATTATGATTTAAAGATTGTGGCATGTCCTGGAAATCGTTAAGATGCCGTGTTAGTAACCTCCTGCTGAAAGTTTTCCAAGATTTTCACAAATCCTATCAGAATGAAAGAAAGTCTCATTCAATCAGTCAAACACACTGCACTCTCGAACTAGTTAGGGTTATGAGTCTTCTGTATATTCCTCTCTATTTGGGTCCACTTTATTGCAAAACTGGCAAGTGATTTGTCTTTTAAAGCGATAATGGGTTCTCTGCATTCCTACTGGGACATAATATAAGATTAGCATAAGCCGAAAATGGTTCTCTGTTATTCTTGTAATAAGATACAAATGCTCAGAAAGGAGAATTCCCCGTTGAAGAAAATCTCAGTCCTAAATAGGAGAATGACCAATGTAATGCCTTCCTTTTCAGGGGAGCAATTGTGACTTTTAAGGTACATTATTTTGTGCCAGAAACTTGAAATATTTTCTGACCAATTCCATTCTCTGGTTCACTATGCAGAAAGTCATCAGTGAATGTAATTGATGCTAAAACAATGTCAGCCGAACCTGTGGCAGTTGTTGAATTACCCAAAAGAGTTCCATATGGATTCCATGCCTTCTTTGTCACAGAGGTGAGTTAACATAACATTCTTTGACATTTTCTGTTGATTGTTGGTTAATTTTTTCTATGTAGGATAAAGTGACCTTAACTTTTGATCCGGGCGGTGTCCTTCCTAGATTTGGAGTTTTCTTTATTCACTAGCCTTGCTTAAACTAGGATTTGGCTAAGTTAAGGTTTTTTTTGCTGATAAATAGTTGCTAAAAGTTTTTTTTAGTTATTACCATGATTAATTTGTTATGTATTAATTGTAGAGTTACATTTTGCTGCTTCTGAGGACCCTCATGGCAGCAAATTCTAGTAGTTTTGACTCTCTTTTTACTTGTTCTCATTCTTACATATTGGTCTATACTTGGTCCCATTATCTCAATTCATCATACTCTGTACAGGAACAAATACAAGAGCAAGCCAAACTGTGAGAAATACTTGTGAAGAGTGGATCGAGCAAGCCAGTCTTCCAGCAACATGCAACCCTATTCTCAGTTGTCCTCATCAATTCTGTGATTTATGTAACTATATTCATACTACCTGTTATAAGCATGTGGCTACTGGTGACTAGAACATAATAAATGTATGTCAAGTTTCTGGAGGTATACATGTATCTACACTCATTTTATACACAAAAGAATAGAATTGTTAAACTTCAAAAATACACATTTCCTTCCAGAACTGGTATCGTTGATGTCTGAAGATTAAACAAGTTAACCTAAAATAGAGTCCAAAAGAAAAGGCCAGAATATAAAGAGGGACAACTGAACTATGTGTTCATTTTTTACATACAGCAGCAGGCTGCAGGGCAATAATAGAAAGCCAAATAAAGCTGCTACTGCAGAATGTACCAGAATTTCTCATTCAATATGTTTGAGAGAATATAGTTTCCTCTTTATTACACTTCCATATCCTTTCTTTTGTTCATTATCATGCCAAACTTCTCTAGTCGTTTAATCATCAATGAAAACATTAACTGAGGACTCTTTCTAATCACATAGCTCTCTTTTATGTTGGTTGCTAACGCATAGTCTCCTAGTTGAAGGTAAGCATTGTCAATGGTGAATAAATCACTTTTTTAAATAATAATAACAAAATTCCTTTTGTGTCATTAAATGTAAATTTGTGTTTTTTCCTAAAAGAAATAATATACTCCATCCGTTTCATATTAGATGAGGTAGTTTGACTCGGTACGAAGTTTAAGAAAAAAGAAGAAGAATTTTGAAACTTGTGGTCTTAAAAGCTTAAGAGGTAAAAAGTTTGTGGGGCCATGACATTTGTGTGGCTATAAAAGTTTCTCATAAGGGTAAATGGGTAAAATGAAAGAGTTTAAAGTTGAATTATTTCCAAATTTAGAAATGTGTCATTTGTTTTGGAAGTTGGAACATACTAAAGAGGAAAGTACCTTATCTAATATAAAACGGAGGGAGTATTAGGCACTAAATCACCAAAAGTAAGAGAATAGGGTGCTAATTAGAAATTATAAGACATATATGAGGGATGCAAAGTGCAAAAGATAGTGCGTGGTGGAAGCTTGTGAGTTGTGAGTGTATAGTTGGTACCCAAAAGTATCTTAATCCACAATTCGGGTATCTATTTTAGCCGTTACTACAAAAGACGTCCCGCGAATACAAACAAAACAGTGGAAAACGTGTCCATGGCATCTCCGTCATCAACAAAGTGAAACAACCAATATCCACTATACAGATTACAGACTATAATCATTCATTATAATACACACACACACAAGAAGAAGAAAAAAACCTTTTCTAACAATCAACTGAGTGGGTGGAGAAAATGGGGAGAAAAGAAGAAGATGATGGAGTAGAGAGAAGTGAAGGAGGAGTTGTGGTGGTGAACCCCAAGCCAAAAAACGGAGTAATTGGGAAGGCCATAGACTTGTTGGAAAAAGGAATCATAAAGTTAATGCACGATTCGACCAAGCCACTTCACTATCTTTCAGGGAATTTTGCACCTACGGATGAAACTCCTCCTCTTAAAGACCTATCCGTCACAGGCCATCTTCCGGTCAGTTCACTACTTTTCTTTAGTTATTTACTTATTATCTATTTGTTTGTTTTGCTTTTTTTTTTTTTTGTGTGTGTGTGTGTCATTCTTGAGTTATATTTGCTGAAATTAGGTGCTTATTGGACCCAAGATTTGAACTTTATGCGTTTGAGTTCCAAATTGTAGCACAGCTCATTTGAGTTGCCGGGTTTGAAATTAATTATTGGTACTTATTTGGTGGATTTTTTAACACATATACAGAGTTTGAGCTAAACTATTGGGTTCGGATGAAGTCATAACTTCTATACTACATTCCCCCCTGCTTACACCTCTTTGGATAGAGGGGTTGTGCTTAGAGAAGGGTGTTCGAAGTTTGTCTATCGAAATGAAGGATACAGATTTGGTTATTACAAGCTTGCATTTTTTGAGAAAATGGTAGGGGGAGAAGTAGGAAGTTAGTACTAATTGGATGCTCATCTTTTTCTATCATCAAGGAAAGAAAGGGGAAAATGAGGAAATGCCAAAATCTTAGGAGTGCAAATCCAATAATAGGTTGGGTTTGGTCAGCATGATTCAGCTGAAACTTAGTTTGATCCTTAATTGGTTCTAATGAGAATAGGATAACTCCTAATAATATTTATCACTGAAATGTGTGCTGTTGTGAATAATAATAATAACAATAATTCAAAATTTCAAGGGTAATAATAACGCCCATGACATGGTCGAAGTATTGTGATAAAAATTTACAGTTTGCGTGAGTTCATCTCTGATGACTTTGCTAGAGTCCTACACCATGATTATATTAGGAATTCTTGATTAGCACAAAATATATTATTTGTCTGATTAACGAGCAAAGCAGGGGAGACTTCCTATTTGTTTCTATTGAACTAAAGAATTCACTTTTATCATCCTTGATACAGGGAAACATTTGCTTATTCTTTTCATTGCTCTAAAATTTCTGGGGAATCTGCAAGATATCTTTTGTTCAAAACTCTAATAAGAAACTGGTTAAAGCCTATGTGATAATGTCCAGAGCAGATTTCTTGACAGTTTAGCGAACGTAGAATGTAAATGTCAATACATTAGGTTATGCAGGATATGATTTACTGCGTGGAAGATTCAGTGGGATCTTACTGCAACAGAGATTAAGATAACATATAATTAGCAGGTAACACATAGTTAACAGCATTAGCGAAAGTAACAGCTTGGGCTAAATAGCTTATTGAAGTTCAGTTGTGCAGTGGTGTGAAGAGCAAGCAATTAAATCACAACTATACTGTATGGAAGATTAAGTGGCATCTTGTTGTTTTATTCATCATTTCATTGTTTATGTTTTTTCTCTTGGCTCATATCAAACTATAGGTTTGCATTTGCTGGGATTGATTCGACAGAGGCACAAGTAGATTTATGCAACATTATTTTCATTTCTCCTCGAATTAAAAGCATAAGAGATATTGTCTAATTGACTTCTAAGGATTTACATTTTGTGCTTGTTGCCATCAACTTTACTCTTATGATACCTAGTAATATGAACTTCTAATTGCAGGAGTGCCTTAATGGTGAATTTGTTAGGGTTGGTCCAAATCCAAAGTTTGCTCCGGTTGCTGGATATCACTGGTTTGTCTTTTATCCTGAACCTATCGTCCTCAGGACTTCCAAATTCCTTTTCTTCCTGAAAATGATCATAAGCTTTTCTGGGTTCCTTTTGGTTATTTGTTTCTTTCTTGCCATTGTATCCCTGTAGCTCATTAAAATGAACATCATTTTCCGATTGCATCAAGGCTTATTCCCAATTTATTTCTATGCAGGTTTGATGGGGATGGGTAAGGCATTTACAATCTTGACTTTGCAATTTGGAGCAGTAATAAGTTATTTTCTCATTGCTTTGAACGACAAGTGGAGCACCTTTGTTCCAGCTACCTATATGTTTCTTTTCTCCAGCTTAAGCATTTTGAAATAGGTTGCCGCTTATTATGTACTAAACTTCCCTTTCTGATACTAGTGGCAAGTAACTGAAAATTTCAGTAGGCATTTTGTTACTTTAGATAAGAAGGCCCTTGTACTCTTTTCTTAATTGAACAACTCAAATGGGCATTATAGTCTCCGTAGACAGACCTTGTATTCACCAGAATAGGATTGATACCATTTTTCCAACAATAGAAAGCTTCAACATGGTAGCAAGGGTATGAATCTTTAAATTTATCATAACAGGACGAGAAGGATTGACAAGCAATTAAATATTTGAATTTGATGATAACAGGAAAGAGAAGGATTGAGCATTAGGATGGCAAGACAACGAATTTTCAGGTTACAAGGACGTTTTTTTTAAACTATTGCTTGTTAAGAAGCACATTATGAGGTGGATCAGGACTATTTGGTTTGTAAACTATGTCAATTAATTCATAGCAGTGTGTTTTTGCTGTCTAGTCTAGGTCTATAAATGTTAACCATGATGTTTGAAGGTATAAAAAAGGGAAAAGGTATACCTAAAATCATATGGAAGGTAAGTTGTGCTGAAAGACCTGAAATCTCCCAGAATCTATGCGTACTTAGCCAGGAAAGGAACACAATAAAAGTAAAAGGCCAATAAAGGTGATACCAACTAATTAAAATTAATGTTTGGTCACGAGGGTGTACAGGGATAAGAAGAAGGATCTGCACATGGTGTTAATTGATCCGGAGAAAGCGTATGACAATGTTCCTAGAGAGGTTCTCTGGAGATGCCTAGAGGCTAAAAGTGTGCCGGTTGCTTACGTTAGGGCGATTAAGGACATGTATGATGGAGCTAAGACTCAGGTTAGGACAGTGGGAGGCGACTCTGAGCATTTTCCGGTTGTTATGGGGTTACACCTATGTTGCTCGGACTCTCCTAAAATGTCGCCGGGTGCGTGTCGGATCCTTCAAAAGTAGTGTATTTTTGGAGGATCCGACACGGGTGCAGCAACATTTTGGAGAGTCCGCGCAACATAGGGTTACACCAAGGATCTGCGCTCAGCCCTTTCTTGTTTGCTCTAGTGATGGACGCACTGATACACCATGTTCAAGGAGAGGTGTCATGGTGTATGTTATTCGCTGATGACATTGTTCTGATTGACGAGACGCGGAGTGGCGTTAACGAGAGGCTGAAAGTTTGGAGACAGGCCCTTGAGTCTAAGGGTTTCAAGTTGAGCAGGACGAAGACGGAATATCTTGAGTGCAAGTTCAGTGCCGAGCCGAGCGAAGCGGGCATACATGAGGCTTGGATCGCAGGTCATTTCCAAGAGAGACAGTTTCAAGTACCTTGGGTCGGTTATCCAGGGAGATGGGGAGATCGACGAAGATGTCACACACTGTATAGGGGTGGGGTGGATGAAATGAAAGTTAGCATCTGGAGTCCTGTGTGACAAGAAAGTGCCTCCACTACTCAAAGGTATGTTTTATAGAGCAGTGGTTAGCCCGGCCATGTTGTATGGAGCTGAGTGTTGGCCAGTTAAGAACTCACATACTCAGAAGATCAAAGTAGCAGAAATGAGGATATTGAGGTGGATGTGCGGGCACACTAGGATGGATAAGATTAGGAATGAAGATATTCGAGAGAAGGTGGGTGTGGCTCCTATTGATGACAAGATGCGGGAAGCGAGGCTCAGATGGTTCGGGCACGTACAGAGGAGGAGCTTGGATGCCCCGGTAAGGAGGTGCGAGCGGTTGGCATTGGTGGGTACAAGGATAGGTAGAGGGCGGTCTAAGAAGAATTGGGGAGAGGTGATCGGGTGGGATATGGCGAGGCTTCAGATCTCCGAAGACATGGCACTCGATAGGAAGCTGTTGAGATCGAGCATTAAGGTTGTAGGTTAGGAGGTAGTTAAACATATTTAGTTTACCAGTGTGAGGCTAGGCTGATAGGATTTAGTTTTAGACTGTTAGTGGTCAGTGTTGTGTTACACTACTCTTCCGTTTGCGTAGTGTCGGGCCTTATTTACTGGTTATTATTTCTGCTTCCCATCTATTCACTGGCTCTTGTGATGTTGTTATTATTTCCATGGTTTTTTTTGTTGATGGTACTGATATATTGTCTCTTTTCGTCTTTTCGTTTTCTTGAGCCGAGGGTCTATCGGAAACAGCCTCTCTACCCCATTGGGGTCTGCGTACAAACTACCCTCCCCAGACCTCACTTGTGGGATTATACCGGGTCGTTGTTGTTGTTGTTTGGTCATGAGGGTATGCTTGCATCAGGTTCAGGTTCAGTCTTTTAATCTATTTAGAGATGTTAGGTCAGTTGATATTGTAGAGAACCTCTAGGGTTAAAGATCTCCAAGTTATTGAACCATATGGAGCAAAATGGATGGTGAAGATTCATATAGCTCACTCCAACCAGTTTGGGACTAAGCCGCAGCAGCAGTAGTTGTAATTGTTCCTCTTTCTTTTGTGCTGCTGCTGCTTAATCTTTTTACTTTGCACACAATCTGATTAAATTGCATCGATTATTCATTTGTCCTATATTATGACAAAGCAATTTTTAGTCTGTTTTTTCCTATTCCAGTTTATCAGTTACTTTTTCTTTTTTAAAAAAATTTGTTAGACGAGTTATGTTGAAGCTTAATAACTATCATGTCTTTATAACTCTTTCACATGGAAAGAAGTAATACGATCTCAAACTTTTAGCCTTTATTCAGCATGATTCATGGCTTGCGCATTAAAGATGGAAAAGCAACTTATGTATCACGATATGTGAGGACATCACGTCTAAAGCAAGAAGAGTTCTTTGGAGGAGCTAAGTTTATGAAGGTGTGCATTTGTTTTGATATTGTTACTCCTAGATTTTTGTTCCCATCAAGCTTCATATAATGATGATTGCAGTATCTTTTAGTAAAATTTCTTCACATGTGTTGATGCATTCAGCAACTTCTTCACATAACTATGGATGCCTTCTTTAAAAAATATGTCACCAAATTTTGAATGCTTCATTATGTAGCTATTCTGCAAGCTATTTGGAAAGGGGCAACACAATTAGTAAATGTATTGTTGTTTATTGGTTTTCTGGAATTAGGGATGATGACCAAAAGAATGATGCTGTTCGAATGTGGTTTGTCCTTTAGGGCATAACATCAGTTTGAAAAAATGTCCCTGCAATTGCAGCACTTCAGAAAGCTTTTTCAACTCTTTTCTGTATCTTCATACTGGATATGGATCTTATTTTAAAGATAATTGTGTCATTCTTTTCCCCTTTAGTTTATGATCACTGTAAACTGAAATGATGCATCTGCTGGCATGCCTTTGTCATAGATCTCTATTAACCTCTAAAAAAAATTAATAATTATGGTGTCCGGGTCAGCTTACGCACACCTCGACTAATTCACGGGGTAACTCTTAAAATTTAAGCACCAGTAATTCAGAGGAAAGGAACTGAGACATCCTATTGGTGTTTATGACCTGAAGTTGATTCACCCCATTTGTTTTGTCACTTTCTGCGGTTAGTTTCTTCCTTAAATTTTCTTTCCCAAATCAAATGGGGCTACTGTGTCAAGCTACCATGCATTATGCTTTATAAACCCTTTGCTTTACTGCGTCTGCAGATTGGAGATCTTAAAGGGTTGTTCGGTCTGTTCACTGTTTATATGCAAATGCTCCGTGCAAAGCTGAAAGTATTGGATATCACCTATGGAAATGGCACAGGTTAGTTGGCTGGAATTTTAGCTAGTTTATCTGTCTTCTCTTGACAAGACTTTCCAAGTATAATTTGTTAATGATGGCAGGAACGCATCTTGATTCATAACAATTTTTATGTAGTCTATGTGATTACCAGCTAAAAGTAAAATTTGTTTCCTTCTCCAGCTAATACAGCTCTAGTATATCACCATGGGAAGCTTTTGGCACTTTCAGAGGCTGATAAACCTTGTAAGCCACTGCTCTGTTTGACTTGTTCAGTAATATGACATATCTATTTTTTGATGTGCAAGCCTTTGAATAGGTGTTGTCTTCGACCTTTTTCCCATTTCTTTTTCCTTATATCAAGCACGATTATATAGTGAAATTGTAATCTGAAGTCTTGGTTATGGGTAGACCACAAGTAGTTAATATTGTTTCACTCAAGGATTTAGATTATTAGTATATATTCTGCCTTTAATACTGCGTGTACACTGCACAGATGCACTTAAAGTTCTGGAGGATGGAGATCTTCAAACACTCGGCATGCTGGATTATGACAAAAGATTGGCGCATTCCTTCACTGCCCATCCAAAAGTTGACCCTGTGACTGGTAAGAGAGCAGCAGTTCTAGTTCTGCATTACCAATAATAAGCATGTCACTATATATAAATCCAAAAGATTTGTCCTTAAACTTTGCTACCCAAATATTTATTGATGAAAGAAGTACCAGTACATGTATTCTTCTAACGATTGTGATTAAAACTGCAATCCTTTCAGTGCATCACCTCCTTTAGTTGAGTCATCTGTTCAGCCTTCTTTTCTCACTTGCTGACGCCTCTTTTCCTACATGTCTGGCTTGCCAATCTGATAGTGGTGATGTAGATTTTAGATAAAACCAAAGAAAATTGCTATTTTCCTCCATAACATAGTACTATTTTATCAAATCACGTTGAACAACTGAATGCCAAGGAAATTGATTTTGAAGTTGAGGATAGGACAGTGAACAGAAGATGGAGCGGCATTCCCTTTGGGCTGTAAATACAGGTGAAGAAAGATGGTTGACCCAGGATTAGGGTTCCCAGTTTAAACGCAAACTGTGCATAAACTATCCAGTGACAACAACAACAACAACGACAACAAACCCATTCCACAAGTGGGGTCTAGGGAGGGTAGTGTGTACGCAGCCTTATGTGAAGGAAACTATCCAGTAACAGTCAATCAACATTACCTTTGACGCAGTCACCTGCTTATGTTGTGTATCTGTGATAGATTCTTAGTTCAAGGTCCACTGTTCAAAAGTGGAGAAGAAGAACCAAAAATGGATCATTTAGTATAAGTTTGGAGCATGAATTATTTAGCCATTATTTTGGTAGAACAGTCTGAGTTTGACTTTGAAATTTTGCAGGTGAGATGTTTACCTTTGGCTACTCCCACAACCCACCTTACATCACTTATAGGGTTATATCAAAGGATGGAATCATGCAGGATCCGGTCCCAATAACAATACCAGAGCCTATCATGATGCATGATTTTGCTATTACTGAAAATTATGCAATTATGATGGATCTCCCTTTGTGTTTCCGACCGAAGGTATGAGACTTCTGTAGCTCACAATTTACTGATTTGTCTTGTAGTAATATCAGCTTTCCTCTCTTGGCGGAAATATGATGTAAGCTTTTTACAAGAGATGAAAGCCTTGGCTCCAAAATTAAATCAGAGAGATATGTTAAGTCTTGTTACATCAGTCCACCTCCTTATTGGAGTCCTATAGGAGAGGACTTCAAGGAGGTTTCTGGTTTATGGACATCTGTTTTAAGAATCAGCTATTGTAAGGTAAATGCTTGTCGAAAATTTGGTAATAAAACTTCATGATTGGTAGCAAGTATTAAACTCAGAATATTTGGGGTATACTAGTGCTGGTACAGATGTTACTTATTGAAATTCATCTCATATTTACATTCCTAACTTTTACTCTTGTGTCTAAAGTATATTATTAGAAAGAATGGTAGTCAACAAAGCGTTTAAAGAACCATAAGAAAATGAATTGAACTTTGAAATACATACCTTAAAACTTCTTTAAACAGAAATAGTTAGTATAATGATCCTAAAAGTGGAGTAAGAGCTTTGTTCCAGATACTAAAATGTTCAAAGATGGGTACCACAAAAACAGAGTAAAATATAGCATACATGTATTGGACAATAATTTTACACCTGCAAATATAAAATGAAAAACCATAGCTACCACTATATGCTAGTCCTCCAACAATCACTAATTGGGTTAGGTCATTTCATGAACATTACAGCAGCAACTTGTAATGTCAGTTGGCATCCAAATTACACTTGTTTTTATAATTTAGTAGCATACTTATTTCCACATTCAACCATAGATGAGAGAAAGAATTCTGATTATATTAAATATATTATTACTATTTAAGTCTTTTGAAACCTCCATAATTTAAGAAATACTTAATTCTTTAATTCAATATTTCTTAAAGTCCACTGTAGTATGGTCTGAAGAAGCATGTAACCAGTGAATTGTGTCTGAGGTTACCCAAACCAGCTTAAGTAACATCGTCCAAGAAACTTACGTAAAGATGCTGTAGTTTTTACCTTTTGCATGACTATCATCTGTTTTCTTTTTGTTCTTTGCAGTGTTCATTTTCAGTTACTCTTTATTCGGGCCTTAAAAAGAATGTGGCATTTTGTTATTCAAGTTATTTGACATTGCCTGGTTCATTCAACATGAAATGGATGTCTTGAATGAAATGGATCTAGTATATTCCGTTTCTTTGTACATGGTCATTTGAATTGACGAAGCCATAGCAATACACCATGACTCGATCTTTTGTTTGATAAAGGGACAATCTATTTTTTGAGTTATATTTGTCCTACTTGGGTAGTGTGAGTGATTTTAAAGGAGTTTATACAAGTTGTGGGTTACTCCATCAGTTGCCTTAGGTTTTGGGTTGGGTGCTCATATTCTTTCGAATTATACCAAAGGGAACCTTTATTAAACTCGTTCTCACATCCATAAGTCTGTATTAAAGTCCATGTGTGAACTCCAAAATCTGGTTACACGTTTGGCAGGGTGTTGAGTTTATATTTGTCCGGAATTGTATATTTGTCATGCATAGTGTTAAGATTTTTGGATTTATTCTTAGCTATGAATTTTCTATTCAGGAAATGGTGAAAAATAATCAGCTGGCTTTTTTCTTCGATGCTACTAAAAACGCTCGATTTGGAGTCCTGCCACGATATGCAAAGAGTGAGGCCCTAATCAAGTGGTTCGAGCTTCCTAATTGCTTCATATTTCACAATGGTAAGCAACTTTGTGGTCTTCCTTGAAAAGTTAAAATTTAGCGTATTCTGAACAGAAAAGCTGTAGCTACCCAATAGCTGTATATGTTTATGCAGTGATTAATGGGTATGAAAGTTGATTGATAATCCTTTAAGGGAAATAATCTTTCAATAAAAAAGTACATAGTTTAGGAATTTTCCTTTTGGAACCTGGAAATTAAGTTTTAGAGTTTGAGTCACCAGAATCACATTGGATGTTTACAGACAAAATATGTCATTTTTTAAAATAATCTGGTTGGTTGAAACTTGGAATTGTTATTGCCACGGAATGCAGGAGGACTCTTCAGTAGTAACTTTTGATCATCTGAAAGCTTAAAAGCTGTAAATATAAATCAGAGGCCCAATGAGATATAAGTGGAAATGCCACCTTAAAAAATTTCTGTAAGGTAATTAGGATTCAGGACAAACATCTTGAAGATGTCAGTGGTCCAAAGATAAGTTGCAGTGTAGTCTTTGCACTTATAATTGGTAATCGTCCTTTGTGATAGGTATAGGGTCGACACATTCTTTACATCAATTTCTTGCTGTAGCTGCATCTGTTTTCTGACTGGTTTATCATTTCAATTATTTTACTAGCCAATGCTTGGGAGGAGGGAGATGAAGTCGTGTTGATCACCTGCCGCGTTCAGAATCCCAACCTAGACATGGTCAACGGAGTTGTTAAAGAAAAGCTAGAGAATTTCTCCAATGAGCTGTTAGGAGACTCCGACATTGAGTTTTTAAATTGACCTTCTTTATATCTGCCACCGTTCATGATTTTGGTTTTGGTTTTGTTTTTGACAGATATGAAATGAGATTTAACATGAAGAGTGGTGCAGCTTCACAGAAGAAACTCTCGGAGTCTGCTGTTGATTTTCCACGGATCAACGAGAGCTACACTGGCAGGTCAGTTGTCTCCATCAATAAAATTTTCAGGCAATTTTTGATCAATGTAGCTTATGTTTGGCGGTACAAAATGCTGCTATCTATTTTGCTTTAACTTTAGTTCATGAGTTCTAAGTGCGTGCTTTCTGTGAGTATTAACTTTATTAGCTTTGTTCCTTTTGGTTTTGGTTACTTGATCTGGTCTCTCTAGAGGTTTTTCAGAAGACCTCTCTCTTATGTTGGTATAGTGATATTAGCCTTTATGAAATTTAGGAAGCAGCGATATGTATATGGAACCACTTTGGACAGCATTGCCAAGGTAACTGGAATCATCAAATTTGATTTGCATGCTGAACCAGAGACTGGAAAAGCACAGCTTGAAGTTGGAGGAAATGTTCAAGGCATCTTTGATCTAGGACCGGGAAGATTTGGTTCGGAGGCTGTATTTGTTCCCCGTCAGCCTGGTACGGAATGTGAAGAGGATGATGGCTACTTGATATTCTTCGTACATGATGAGAACACTGGGTACCTTATCTGCCACTCTCTTACTTGAATCTATCATAAGCATCACTATCGATATATCTTCTCTTTTCCCGCATAAGACCATTCTGTACTGGTAGTCTTCTGGATGTTAAGGAAATCTTTCTGTTCTAATGTTTAAAGCGAAATAGAGTGACAAAGAGGGTCAGTCTAGAGTACTTGTTGTGTCGAACAGTTCAACCTATGTAATTGGAAGAGCATAGTGTATTCTACCTCTAAGATCCGTTATATGTGTGTGTGTGTAGAACAACTGCAACTACAATATACTGAAGCAACGTGACTTTAAGATCATATGATGCTCAATTGTCCTTATCTTTTCCACCTTAATTTGAGCATAGCTAGAAAAAATGCGTACATGAGCATTCACTCTTTAGTTATAATCTTCTTTGGACTTTAAGTTAGAAAATTGAAAGCAGCATATGTCCCTATTTCCCTTGTGCGTTATACATGGTCCGCCTTTACGCCCTGTTGAATTATTTTCCTATCTTAGTTCTTAGGCGCATATGGAAATATTAGCAGATTTCATGACTGAGATTTAAAACAGAATTTTCTTGACTAAACCATTCTCTTATATATTTGTGCAGAAAGTCAGCTGTGAATGTAATTGATGCAAAAACAATGTCAGCAGAGCCTGTGGCAGTTGTTGTATTACCCAAAAGAGTTCCTTATGGATTCCATGCCTTCTTTGTCACAGAGGTGAGTCATCCCAATTACTTTGGGTTCTTTGCCTTAATTTTCTTTCAGTATCAATAGACCCAAACTTAAAACCAGGACACGAGTACTGTTTCCTTTTCTGGTTAATGGAAAAAATTAGAATGCTTGGTGCTTCTGGACATCAGCACTGCAACGAAAAACCTACTTTTTTTTTTTAAGTGAATCTCCATATTATGCTTTATCCTAACATATTTCTTCAGAAAATTGCTTCCCGTTTGAAACCGAAATGGTAAATATGACTTCTTTTTCTGCAAAACGAAAATTTCCTGACAAGTGAAGGTTAAAGAACTCCATTTGTATCTCTCTGTCCCCCTTCCACGGTGAGCGTTCCTGGTTGCCATTAAAAATATTTCAGTATTTTCAAATCGGCAAAATACATAAGTTACCCCTGAACTATGGACCAAATTCCTATTACACACTTTTTACGGACGAAAATCACCTTATACACTCAACCTTTCTAGGATGTGCCTAAGACACACCTCTTTGTCTACGTGGCAGGTGTGTGTTTTACAAAGAAAATAAAGCGTCTGAACAGTAAAAAATTGTATATCTAATTCTTTATTTGAAGGGTCCAGAGTTAACATAACTTATCCAACGGTTAAATAGATTTTTTATTTGTCCTTTTCTAATATCATCCTTTTTTTTTAATATTTCTAAAATAATCTAGTTCAAATTGAAGATAATAGATGTTTACTGTCCATTTTTTCCACTTTTAATGAAGAAATCTATTCAAATTGTAACAGGTGAAAAAATCGATTCAGGATGAAACTATAAACAATATAGAAGAATCTGTAATGAAATCTTCAAATGAGATGAGAAGAACAATGTAAAAGAATCTTCTCTTTTTCTTTTCCCTTTTCAATGGGGCAGCCATGAAGAAACCCACTTATTATATCTCAAAATATTTCAGAAAAAAATACATCAGAAAGTAGGAGCAATTGATCAGGGCTTCTCGTTTTTTTTTTTCCTGTGAATTGTAAGGTGGAGGTTTGGGTTCGTTTGGTGCTCGACGGCAATGGAGATAACGAGAAGGCTGTGGAGGGTGAGTAATGATGGTGGGATGGTGAAAGCTGGGTTATGTTTTTAGTCTATCCATGTTTTTTTCTTGGATATGGGTATGTTAATGGAGAAAGAGAATTGTTGAGTAGTGGTGGTGGGACTGTGAAGGCACGACGAAGGAGATGCTTTCCTTTTCATTTTTGCTTTTTTTTCTTTTTTCTTTTTCGTGGGTGGGGTTTGTTTTTCTTTTTATTTTTTATTTTTTAAGTCAATGACACGTGTCGCTATATGACTGATGCGTGATATTACACATGTTTTGAAAAACTGGTCAAGAAAAAGTGGTGTGTCTTAGGGACACTCTAGAAAGAAAAATTTTATTTTGTGTCTCACACAACTGATACTAGTTGTATGAGGCCTCTTTTTTGTCTCACAACTGTGTGGTCCCAGAATTTTGTGGACCCAGATGTGTAAGATATGGGTCCACAAATATGTGAGATAAAAAGAGGCGCCTCACACAACTAATGTAAGTTATGTGAGACACAAAATAAAACCACTCTGAGCTTCAGTATTTAAAATAATGGTGACATACTGAAAAGTTGTTTGAGTGGCGGGTAAAACTCACATAAGCAGAGGGGGAGACACATTCATGAAAAGCGAGAAGCCCTGCCGTGGGGGACTGACCAACTATGAATAGATCTTACTTATGCTTACGGGTAAGAACATATATTAGTCCGTATCGTGGGTCTATTTGTTACAAAAGGCGAACATCCCCTTTCCAAAACATTAACATAGGTCCTCAGGCAGACATCGAAAAGGGGGCGAAAAGAGTCTATTTACCTTTACAATATTTCGGAAGTATTTCGAGTCAAATATTATTATCCACTCACAAATTGTCAACTTCTTGTTTAAGTGAATTTCATGTCAAACACAACTTGAACTTCCAAATACCTCTTTCAACTTCAAATACTAATCTTTTTTTAATTCAACCAGATACTGTCCAAGCGCCTACTAGATCACCATTCTACTTGCTGTAGATTAGAGGGAATTTAGATACATTATTAAAAGAAGTCTCATGCCTGCAAGTTCTGTCAGCTCGACCCTTTAAAACTTTTGACTGTTTCTTTTCACTTTCCTGTTTAAACTTGGTACTCATTCTCTGAATTCATTTACTTTGAACAGGAACAAATTCAAGAACAAGCCAAACTGTGAGAGTGATCACAACATATATACCTCGTTATCTTGTATCATGGCTGCATCTATACTTCTATAGTGCTGTTATAGAATAGCTATAACTGGCTATTTCGTCATTGATAACTTGACACAAATAAATGTATTTATGTGTAGACTATAATTGTTACTGCTTTTTTCATCTTTCTTTGAGCCGGGGTCTATCGGGAAAAACCTCTCTACCTTCTCAAGGTGGGGGTAAGGTCTGCGTACACACTACCCTCCTCAGAGGCGTATCTGGTGTAGAAGCTATGAGTTCAATTGAACACATAGCTTTTGCTCATACCCTGTATTTTTGTCCAAAAAAATATTAAATATGCACAAATAATAAATTTTGAACCCATTAAATTAGATGAGATGTGTTAGAGTTGCGAATCTAACCCATAAAGTTTAAATCTTGGATCCATCTTTGATCCTTCCCATACCCCACTTGTGAGATTTGCTGTTGCTGTTGTCGTATAATCTATAATTGCAGCTTCTTCTGATGGCATTTTACTTCTATGATCAGACCCGCAAATATTTTTCAGTAAAGACATTTGGCTCATGGAATGGAAGAAACACATGTTCGAATATCCACTTCATACATTATTCTATAACGCAAGCTGCAAGCATTCTTAGTCACTTGATATGTATTACAATCCTAGAAAATTTGCAAATCCTGAAATTGGGTTTACAAATTGACTTAAATTTTGATCTCGTATCCTACAATATGCCAAAACCACAAGATATAGAGCCCGTTTGGCTTAGCTGATTTAGAGTAGATGATAAGCATTAGGTGCTGAAAAACACTTTTAAGTGCTGAAACTGATTTAAAAAGTAAGCAGTTACGTGTTTGGATAAAAGTGCTGAAATTAATAATATGCAGCTGAAGAACTAGGTATACGAAGAGTTTTGTTTTAAAAAGAAGTATTTTAGAGATAGAATAGTAAATATTTTGGTCAAACTTAAAGTGCTTATAAGCTGCATTTTGATAAGTTGGGGGAGACCAACTTATGACTTTTGGCTTATTTTTGGCTTATAAGCACTTAACTTATAAGTACTTTCCTCATATACGCAATATGAAATTACTGTCCACTAGGTTTGAATACCACAAATTTAAACTTGGCTCCCGTCCACCTCTCCATTTCCTCAATTGCACCCTTATAATTCTGACATGTGTCCAATTAATAATCTAATGACTCAGATTTGTTTATTTAACTAAAAGAGTATAACCATGGTTTAATCCTCTTTCTCTCTCATCACGTTGCTGAACGATGTGAAGAAATCTAATTACACAATCACTCGATAAGTGTGACGGAGAAAGAATTTCTTCAACAACGAAAAACCCACATATGAAATCCAAACTAAAATTTCTGAGAGAAAAAGGTATAAGCATCAACTGGAAAAATTATGGCAGATGAGAAAGGAATCGTCACAGCCTCACAGGCATAAAAGGGGAGACAGAGAAATGCCCATGGTTAAACTCTTTAGTTAACCAAACAAATTTGAGTCATTAGATGATTAATTGGACACGTGTCAAAATCTTAAGGGCGTAACTGAAGAAACGGAGAGATCGTGTGATAGTATGCACATCGTCGTTGTAACCGGCGACCTAGCGGAGAACTAATTAAAAAAAATGTAGGCCACATTTATAACAAGCGCCCTAGTGGTATAATTTCAGTTTGGTTAGAACTCCGGTAGTAGCTCACAGTTAACAAATTATTACGAAATCATACATTTTTTAATTATTCGAAATCATATTCTAGATCTTAATTTTTATACTTAGTAATTAACGTTTGATAGTAATATTTCTAGCGCATAATTATTTCTTATTAATTAATGTTTGATAGTTATGTTTCTAGTGCTTAATTATCTCAGGTATTTCAAAGAAAAATAGTGAGATTATTCAGGATGAAGATAAAGTTGTTTAAAATTATTATGTGAGAATATTGTTCATTGTCTTGTTTTAGATTCTTTTAGCTCTGTGTTAGCTTTTGCGTCATAAACATCAAGATCTATGTTTTTAAAGGTATAAGTTGTTTATAGTTATCAACTTCTCAATAGGTTAGTGCCAACATTTCCTTTGGGATAATACATAATTACCCCGGGGTCCTCGCATTTTACCAAGATGCACCCATACACTTTGTGGTGATTCTATAAACCCCGTGAATTTATTTGTAATGCATTAAATACCACCTTTTGTGCCGACGTGGCAGTTGCAGTGTTTTCACGAAATTGCAGCGCGTAAAGAAAGCCCAAATTAGTGTAACGATCCGACCGGTCGTTTTGAGCTTTAGCGCGTTCTTCGGCGGTTTGAGGCCATGAACAGCTTCACTTCAGGTATTATGATTTGTACGCGTGGTCGGAATTTAATTTCGGCAAGTTTGGAGTTGATTTGGAAAGAAAATTCTCATTTCGGAAGCTTTATGTTGAAAGAATTGACTAAGGTTTTGATTTTTGAGTGAACGACCTCAAAATCGGGATTTGAAAGTTCTAACAGGTTCGTATGGTGATTTCGGACTTGGACGTATGCCCGGATCTGGTTTTGGATGACCCGGGAGCGTTTCAGCGCCTATTGAGGAAGTTAGTATTTTGGAAGAATTTCATAAACTTGGGTTAAAGTTCATTTCAATGTTATCGATGTCCGTTTAGGATTCCGAGTCTGGGAATAGCTCTGTATGGTGATTCTGGTATTGGGAGCGCGTCCAGAAGTGGATTCGGAAGTCCGAAAGTCATTTTGGAGTCATTTGGCTAAAGTTAGAAATTTGAAGGTTTTTGAGAAGTTTGACCAGAAGTGGACATTTTGATATCAGGGTCGGATTCCGATTCCGGAAGTTGGAGTAGGTCCGTAATGTTGAATATGATCAGTGTACAAAATTTAAGGTCAATCGGATGTGATTTGATAGGTTTCGGCATCGAATATAGAAGTTTGAAGTTCTAAAGTTCATTAAGTTTGAATTGAGGTGTGATTCATGATTTTGATGTTGTTTGATATGATTTGAGGCCTCGACTATGTCCGTGTTATGTTATGGGACTGGTTTGTGTGATGGGACGGGGTCCCAGGGGCCTCGAGTGTGTTTCGGGGAGGTTATGGATCATTTCGGGATATGTTGGAACTGCTGATATCAGGTATCTGGTTTCCTTCTTCGCGAACGCGAAGAGAGTCCCGCGTTCGCGAAGAGGAAAATTGGAGGCTGTTGGATTTGGCCATCGCGAATGCGAAGTGGTGGTCGCGAACGCGAAGGGGTTGACTGGGTTGACTATGCGAACGCGAATGGACAACCGCGAACGCGTAGAAGGAAAGAGGGAAGCAGGGCCTATGGATTTTTAGCCTTCGCATTCGCGAAGGGGTCGCCTGGTGAAGCTACGCGTTCGTGACTGGGTCTCGCGTTCGCGAAAGAGGAATTTTTTTGAAGCTGGATTTTTGGCCTTCGAGGACGCGAGGGCAGTGCCGCGTTCGCGAAGAAGGGCGGATCTGGGCTGGGCAGAATGTTTTAAAAGCGGGGTTTGAGTTCATTTCACCCATTTTTCACTCGGCTTGGGCGATTTTTGGAGCTTTTGAAGAGGGGGTTTCATCATATATCATGAGGTAAGTGATCTCTACTAGTTGTGAGTTAAATACATGGTTTGTATAAGGATTTAGACATGAAAATTAGTAGAAACTATGGGTTTTGGGTAGAAGACATAAAAATTTATATTTTGGATTTTTACCATGAATTTGGGCATGAAATTGAGAGTAATTATATATTTGTGTTCATGAGGTTATGGGTAAAGTTTATCTTCGAAAAAATTTCGGAATCCGGGCATGTGGTCCCGAGGCCGATTTTGTCAACTTTTCGAGCAGAGTTCAAAATTTATATAAATCGAATTGTTATGAGTATTAGGGTATATTTTCATTGGTTCACCCATTATTTGGCTAGTTTTGGAGCGTGGGGCTTCGGTTTGGGTCATCGGAAGGGCTTGGAAGCCGGTTATAGAATTTTAGAGCGAGGTAAGTCTCCTTTCTAACCTTGTAAGAGGGAATTAATTCCATAGGTGAACTAAATTATTATGTGCTTTTATTTGGGGGGGCTACGAACGCACGAGGTGACGAGAGTCCGTACGTAGCTACTAGCTATGCCTATGTCCGAATTGTTTTAGGCTCACAACATGCCTTGTTGATATTGTTGTTAATTTATGTTTATTGTTTGTCTTGAGAAGAAACAAGATTAAGGTTGCGTAATAATTGTGTTGGAAGTAATTTGAACTGAGGAATTTAAGATTTTCAATTAAACATTGTATTTTCGAAAGGAATTGAGAAATATTATAATAGCTCAAGAAATGTATGAGTAACCGCGTCGCATGTACGTTTCACAAGTGGGGTAATTTCCTTAAAAGGATACAAATTGAATTACCCTTATTTTGAAAGAAATCAAGAAAGAAATAAGATTTTAATGTTAAATTTATATTTGACCGCGTCGCATGTATGATTCACGAGCGGGGTATTTCCTTCTACTACTCTTATGGGATCAGGCCGTTCGCCTTGGCAGGATTTATGTACCACACTCTTATGGGAGCGGGTCGTTCGCCTTGGCAGGTTTATAGATGCATCTATGGTTCGCGTCGTTCGACCCTCGGCAGTGCACAATTTACTTTTATGTTGGATCGGGCCGTACGCCTCGGCGTTTCCTATATATATATATATATATATATATATATTGTGGATATCATCAAGAGGTTGTCATAATTCAAATCAGGGAAAATCCCTTGGATACACAGGCCTCAAGCCAAATGTTACGCACGGTTCCATGAGAATAATATATATATATATATATATATATATAGCGAACTTGCTAGTTGAGAGCTTGAGTAAAATTGTAAAGAGGGGAATTATACCACGTATTTTATACATGTTTATTTCATATATTTACTCTGTTTCATATTTATTTACTTCTTTACTGTATCTGATATTATTAGACCACTAATAAGTGTCGAAGTCGGCCTCTCGTCACTACTTCTTCGAGGTTAGACTAGATACTTACTGTGTACGCATTATTTTCGTACTCATACTATACTTGCTGTGCATTTTTTTTTTGCACAGGCACATGTATGTCTAGTGGCCTAGTGGGCGCAGTGGCATGGAGGATACGGAGACTTAGGTGAGCTGCATCTCTCGAGACGACCCGCAGCCAGCGGAGTCTCCTTTAGAGTATTGTATTTTCTTCTCTGTCCAAATTTGTGTTTCGGACAGTTGTTGTATTTCATTTTATTTCCTAGAAATTGCTCATGCACTTGTGACACCGGATTCTGGGAGAATTATGGGATTAATCAGTATTGAGAATTGCTAAAAAGCCTTATTATTTACTCTGTGAAGTTCATCATTTATTATTTAATTGGAGGAAATTATGATTTC